AATAGTGATATGACGGGAAATGTGTGGTTGAAAAAGAAGAAAAAATTATTGATGTGATGGAAAATATTATTTTATTGAAGAATGTGTTGTTGAAAATGAGAATTGATTTACTGTAGAATTTGAGAATAAAAAACAAACGCCCCCTAAATTTTATTCTTCTATCCATTTTCTCTTGTCAACTAAATTAAAGCCCCAGAATTTTTTAATGAACAGCTCTGAACTTTTTATTTACTGAATGTGCCCCATGCATAACTTAAATGACAGGGTACGAGTCGGCCTGCCCATTATCATGTCTTGCTTGATGAAATTGGTTTCTCTCCTGATGATCTACAAAATCTTATCCATTCACTGGCATACGTGTAAGTTTCAGACCTTGAGAGAGTTTTATTATATTTTATTTTTTTTCCTTATTTCCAGTGGATTAGTATTCTTTTAATTGGCCTCAGTATTTGTTTTAATTCGTCTATGCAGGAACCAAAGAAGTACAAATGCTAGCTCACTAGGTACTTTGTGTCCTAGCTAAAATTTGCTATCCTATTAATCATCCCGATGAGAAAGTTTATCATCTTTCCACTTTTCTTTATTGCAGTTGCACCAATATTTTATGCACATCTTGCAGCCCATCAAATGGGACAGTTTCTAAAGTTCGAGGATTTTTCTGCAAGTTCGTCTGGACAGGAAAGTATCCCCGTCCCTCAGCTGCCCAGATTGCACGAGGACGTTGCAGGTTCCATGTTCTTTTGTTGAAGTAACGAGAATGTTCTAGCATTAGATAGGAGTTGATCAACTCAACAAGACTGTAAATACTCGGGTGATACAGGAATATAGGTGACCCCCGGTTTTCATCGTTGTGGGGTGAAGAAATAGGTGAAGATCATTCTGATGAAGCATATTGAATCGTTCTAAATGTCCTATCTACTTTTTGATATATGCAACTATTGCGATTAGAAATTTGACTATTTGATACGTTTGGCTGATTTTTTCTCTTTCTTTCTATATTTGCCAAGATTTTTGCATCCACTTGTTTGAATGCTATCTTAGATGTCTTTATAATTTCAATATTTCTTGAAAATCTGTCTCCTACATTTATAACCGTCCCATAGCGTTTTGAGACACATTCGGGAATGTAGAATTTTATTTACCATGAATCACTTTTCTTAGAATCGATTTTAAATGTGATTATGCTTCTGTTTGGTAGGGATTAAAATTAGATTTTTAGTAAATTTTGATAGAAGTTGATAAAATGCGTGATTGAAAAGTTATAAGACTCATAAAGTCTGTTTGGCTCCACTTTACAAGATTAAAAACAATTTTTATACCATTGCAAAGTACAAGTGGATTCCAGGGTTTAGCTTTTATTGAGAATGAATTCAAAAATGACAGTAATAATGGTACAATAATTGATTAAAATTTGGATGAAAAATTCTCTCAAATAGGCGTAAAATACGTGGTTCAAATTAATTGTTGACTTTGATTAAGACTAAATTCTACATTTTAATTTTTGCCAAACATGGGCTATATATTCATCTGTGAGTTTTGTAATTAAATTGTTTTCTTGTCAACTTTGTGAAGCATTGGTGAAATATGCTACAATCGTATCCAAATGCACCATTAAAGCTAAGCTATTCTGGACACTGATGTGGACATCACCTGACCATGCACTTTTCTTTGGGTCTGCATATATGAATAGGAATTTATTTCACAAGGATTCAGTTGGACAAAGGTCTTTATAGCTGTTCGAAGAAAAATATCTAAAATTATCAGCTGGAATGAATAAAGTGGATTCCTTCTACCATAAAATTACATCGTGTTACCACTTAATAAAATCGTGCGTATTTAATAAACAGTTGTTATGAAAGCACTGCTGAAGTTACAGTCATTTTTTGTATGATCAAATTGCAAGTGTTTTATTTTCTTATATATGTAACAGCTAATTAAATTACAAATTTTATTAGCAAAAGAAGACAGAATTTAACATAGTAAAGCAATATAGTTTTAATATAATTTGTTATATCTTTTTTTTTCCTTTTTATGACTTAAGTATTCAAGTTCGTCCTACTAATCCTGAAGAGCGGCGACTTTTCCCTTGGTCCGCCATATGGATAAATCATATGTGGTCACACTTATATACACTTGGACCAGACATTTGGAAATCGATTCTCTTCCCTATGAATTCCCTTTATGATGTACGGATGGGACTCTGGAGGAGTGACATAGTCAACCATGACTTTGTCTCAACATGATATCTACCTTCCAACATAAATGTTGCCTTCTAGCGTTTCCAATCTCCGATACTCCGTAAAGAACCCTCATACTTTATCAATCCCCATGCCCACGGAGACGTTTGTTATATCTTTGTACAACGTTGGTTGATTTATATTTCACGAAAAATGAAAATTGTATAGATAGCAAATAGAAATTTTTTTATGTATCTAATTTTCATTAATTAAAAAAATTTACTTGCCAGTTTAATTTAATAGTAAACCCAGAATAGCCCTGTAGCGCCCCGAGTTCTGTTAACCCGGATTGCCACGTTGTCGTCTTTTGCCCTAATTTTGTCAATCAATTTTGCGGAAATAACCTAATTTTTAAAATCACATTTGCAATTGAAAACTACGTCGGCAATTAAAATATATTGGATAATTGTTCAAA